TACCCAGAAGTTTTCTGAAAATGCTTTTATCAAGGTTATTAATAAGTGCCAGTGGATATCTCTCAGTTGCCTGTCCATGTCATGGGCACTATCACCCCATACTGTGTCAATTAAATGTGCTACAACTTGTAAGTATTTATATCAGACTTCTTGTACAAAAGATCTACTGGCAATTTTACAAGTTTCTTAGGGTGGCCATTCAAAAAATACCACATATTTGATGCTTAAATAAAAGAAATTTTTTTCTCTGATAGATTTGGTGACTGCAAATTTGGATTTAAGGTGTTTGGAATCAAATTGCCTCCAAAGGCTCTGGAAAGAGAAGAGCCTTCCCTATTTCTTCTGTATTCTGGTGGCTTAGGCATCCATGTGTAAGCCTTCATCATCACATGAGCTTCTTTTGCCTTCATCATCACATGAGCTTCTTTTCTTTGTGTGTGTCTTTCTTCTGTGTGTCTTTTACCACAATGTCAATTGTCATTAGACTTTGAACCTCTTAGCTAACACAGGAGGATGACATCTCAAGAGAATTGCATTGCAAAAACCCTTATTCCTTTAAAGCTCACTTCAGAGTTCCAGGGATTAGGTTGTAAGCACAGCTGGAAGGGCCACGATAGTAAAAATTCCCATGTTCAGCATTTTTGTTCATAGTAGAAATGTGCTATGATAGTCTAATCAGGATGCTGATTTAACATAATGTTAAAAATTGTAATGTTTATTCAGTAAGCTGTTATTCACTACTCTATCTCATATGCATCAGGCACCATTCTAGCTAGGACCTGGAGGAAAAATGATATACAATCCTAGTTTCATGGATCTACCTTCTAGTTGTGGAAGAAACAGAATATCCATTGGTTCAAATATACTTAGTTAAAGTAAATGAATCAGTAAATTTTCTAAGCTCATAGAAATCATTTTAAATTTGTAATTAAGCTGCTAAAAGTCATCGTTTGTCAAATCTAGAACAGAAGTAATATAAAAGAATCATTTCTTGCTCTTTCACTCTCTGACTATATATGAGATGATTTTCTCTTATGTGCTAAAGCAAGAGAAAAGAACAAAGCACCCAAAGTCTGCTTAAATTTATATTTATCTGTTGATGAGTAATGCAAAGTTATTCATTTGGTGTTATTTGCAAACTTTCAGAATAAATAAGAAAATAATAGTATGATGAATCTAGTTTTCTTCATGAATATTTTATTTTAGCTATATTATTAGTTTAATTAATGTAAATATATGCTATTTGCTACCTATATAATGAAGCCAATTTTATACTAAATTCTGTTGTTTCGTAAAACCTCTATTTTTATCTTTTTTTTTAAAAAGGACTTAATTGTGTTCTTATTTTCCTGGCTCTGAGCTATGTCTATATTGTTCTTATTAGCGTAGTGCACCTAGATACTCCAGCCCATTAACCTTTCATCAACCATCAGCCTGTGTCATGATTGAATACTTTCTTAGATGCACATTCTACTAAACAATAAGTTCTTTCAGATGAGTGGCTATGTCTTTCAGTTTTGTTTTCCTAAGTCCTTAATACAGTGTATGATATGGATACTGCAAAAATTAAATTTTGTCAGCTTTTAGCTTGGTAACTATGAGAAGCAGGATTGCTTTGATGCTGCCCTAACCTGTGTTATGGGACTGTCAGAGACTGAATACTTCTTTGCCAATCTAACTAACTCAGTGACCTTGCATGTGAAAAATGACAGCAACAACAGTATGACAATGACAATGAAGGACCCAAGAGGTTATTTTATATGAAGGACACAATGCCTGTGCTGAGCATACTGTTAGCATGTACCTAAGTATAAGTAGGCATCCAGTAAATCTTCAGTTATATATAACTGTTTTTCATTTTAATATTGTAATTTTAAACATGTATCCTGACACTGCAGTGGATTTTCAGTCTTACAAATAGCTATTAATTGAAACACATGGTAGTTTTAATTTGGCAGGACCCAAGACTTAAAATTATAAGCAACTTAATTATTAGGAAGTATAATTAACAGCTCAAATCTTGAAGGCCATTAGCTATGGTATTTTGGTGACTTGACTTAGAATAATTAGCTACATGAAGCATACATCTTTATAAAAAGTAAATGGTGATATTTTCTAAGCTTCCTCACAAGCTACTTTGTGAATGGATGTCATCCTTAACTTTTCCATTTTTATATGTCATATCTGGTAATTCACTATGTTTTAAGAATGGTTTTCTCATTAACTATTTCTTATATGATTCTCTTCTCTCAGATGATTAAAAAATTCTTCATTCATCATTTTGAAAAACTAAAGTTATAAAATTTAAGAAATAAAAACAGTACATATATAAGATTTTTGCATTTCTATTACTGTACATAAAAATTTTAATGAAATTTTTGGATGAAAACTTCCATTTAAAATATTCAATTTTTATTTTTTAAAATTATAATTATTGAGAAATAAAGTTTTAATTATATTCTGAGTATAGTCTAGGAGTATATACATATACAGATGTATACCACCTCTCACTGCACACACTCCTGTATTTATATTGAGTCATGCTTAAGATCTTAGGCTCCAGAAGCGATAGCCCTGGATTGGATTATGAACTCTTCTACTTATAGGTGGGTGACTCTTAGTAGAATAATCTTTCTGTGCCTCAAGTTTCTTCCTTTCTGTATGTAAAATAAGGATAAAAATATTATTTGCTAATAGCACTGTGGTGAAAATTGAATGAGTTGATTCATTTAAAGTAGTTAAAATAGTGCCAAACTCTAAGATATAACTGAATTAATATTAGTTCTTCAATTGTTAAGTACAAAAGGGATGAGGTCTTTCTGTTTCTTTTTTTCTTTCGTTCATTCGTTCTTTCTTTTGTTCTTTTTATTGTTGTTGCTATTGTTTGGGAGGGCAGCACAGACAAGTCATAGATGTAGTAGGTAATGAGTGCTGGTAAGGTGAGTTAGAGACAATGGTCTAGTCTTTCTCTTTCTTTCTTTTTTTCTTTCATTCATTCGTTCTTTCTTTCATTCTTTTTATTGTTGTTGCTATTGTTTGGGAGGGCAGCACAGACAAGTCATAGAAGTAGTAGGTAATGAGTGCTGGTAAGGTGAGTTAGAGACAATAGTCTAATCCCAAGTCCTAGATGTTCCACTCTAAGACTTCCAAAGCGGAGATCACCTCTGAGAATGTTGCAGTCTTTCCACATTTCTAGAACTTTATCCTACAAAGGATAGGTGTTGAAAATAATAAAAAGATTTTGTACTGAATCCTAAATTTGAACCCATCTCTTTTATGTACATGAGTCTTATCAATAATGATAATAATAATGGTTCCTCTATTACGTGTGCTCTGAGCACTAAATGAGATGATACAACTAATATACTTTGAACATTAACTGACTAGTAGTAGTTGTTCTATAAAAATTAGCCACTTTAAATTTGGAACAGAGGAATGATATGATCCAATCTGCATAGATTTTCTTAATCTCAATAAAGGAAAATACTTGAACTTCCGTGTGATAACATAGAGAGAATGATACGTTTGTGGAAGATTATGATTCATGTGTATCTAGCATTTGAGCTACCTATTCATGAAGCTGGCCTGGCTCCATGAATGTGACAGAGAACAGGCCATCACAGAAGTTGTGGTTGCTGGTTCTGAGCCCCACCATACCTTTAGGCCTCTTTTGAGTAGCTCAGAAGCTGGCAGCATAAGTAGGACAATGTACAGAGTCACAGAAAAAATTAGCTCTATTTTATAGGTGTTCTTTGTATAGATTAGAAAACGTTATTTACATCTCTTGGAGCACTTGACCCTGTAGCAGGCGACATGGCTTTGGGAGCTGAGACCAGAACTCTCTCCCCCTCTGGGCCAGATATCCTTGGGCAGGGTACAAACAACCTGGGCAACTACATTTGTGTCCTGGTCAGGGGGTACTTGTGATAAGCATAGGTTTGCTGCAGCTGAAAATATGTTCATTAGTTGTGTCTCTCTGTCTCTGATTTGGAGTAGTCTTATGATTTTTTTGATAAATAAGAGTGTGATGGAAGTAACGCTAGACCTTATTTTTACTTTCTTGGAATTCAACTTTGGAATCAATAGGTAAAAGGAAGGCCTAGTGGAGGATAAGGAGTCATTTGGAAGAGAAATAAGTGTCCTCACTGACAGCCAGAACTTCCTGGCAGCTACATCATTATGAGTGATCCTAGCAAGATCAGATCAAACACCTAGTCACAGAACTGATGATCCTTATGATCTTAAGCAATAGTAACTGCATTTTGTTTAAGTCTTAAGTTTTGAGATAGTGTATCACAACAATGGTAGATAAATGATATACCCAAAGGGAAAGGACAGACATAATTCTCTCTAAGATTCATCTCCAGTAACTATATTCCCTCAGGTTTCAATATAATTTCTAATGATAAAACACTGAGTCAGAACATCTCCCTTTGATGAACAGAGATGTTATTGCCTTATATAGATCAGTTCAGTCTACAGGAACAAAAACATCGATTACAAAAGGTTTCCAGGATAGTTTCTGTTATTCATGTGGCCTAGAATTGTCTGCTGGCTTATTACTGCCTTTCTGGTTACTGCATGCCTTATACAGACTATAACAAAAGATTCAAAAATAATAAATATGAATAACTGCTATGTTCCTACATGGTTCCCATTGAGATATCACTGAGTGCTCTGTTACAGTGTTGATAGTAATGTATGTATCTGTAAAGGAGTAACTATTAAAAAGCACTAGCTAAATTAGAAACCCATATGCAATGAGGCAGTAGAAAATATTACAGGAAAGGTAAGTTGGGAGAGTGGAAATGATTGAAACATAATATAGTAATGTCATGGTGAAACCTATTAATTTGTACAGGTTAATGGCAGTTAATTTTTATAATAAAAAGTATATCAGGAATCTGAAGAATTTTTTATATATATTCATTTTTTTATTGAGAAGTAAATATGAATGAGACAGTTTCACAGCTGATTAATAGGACAGTTTTTTTTTTTCACACACACATACTTTATTAGTTTTCATCTACAAGAGACAACATGTATCTTTTTAACAGAAATCTCAGGTCATGAGGCAAAATGGATCCAAGGAAGAAAGATGAAAATTAAATACTTAAATTAATCAAAAGGCACTATATGATACCACCTAAAACCTACTACCATGATGGTAGCAGGTAAAGGAAGATTAAGCCACAGCAAATTATCTAATGTGAATGTTGACAGTGATAAAGCAGGAAGCAAGCCATTTGGGCGTGAGGGGATATTGGCTGTGGGTAAAGCCATGTAGAAAGGAACAGGTAGGAGAATCCAAGCTACACAGACAAGCAGATGACAATGGGTCAGGCTTCTTCCTCCCAAGAGACATTTGCCAACTGCCTATCCCCTGCCCCACCTTGAAGACCCCACCCAACAGCTGCTCGAGCTGAGCCCCTCCACTCCTGCCAGACTCCTGCACTACTGGGACTAAATTTGGGACTGCCCAAGGCTTTTGGTAATTCAGGACTAAACTTAGAGAACTGGCCACACATGGGCTGGCTCTGTGGCCAGCTGTTCTGAACAAAGAGCAACCCTAAAGTATCCACCTGCCAAGGAGGCTGAGCTTCCAAAATCACATTCAAACAGCTTTAAAACAAGTTGTTTTTGTTTATTTTTGTACCGGGAATCAAACTCAGGACCTCACACTTGCCAGGGCAGGTGTTGTGCTGCTGAGCTACATCCCTGGCTAAACAATAATCTCAAAAAAAGTTTGCAATTCTGCAGGAACTGAGCTCTAGTTAATGCTGCAAGGCTCGCAAAACCATCAAGGCAGAATGAGGCAATACAGATAGGAAATCCCAGCAGTCTCAATCTGGCTTGTCCCAATTTAGGATAAACTCTAATAATGTACCTAATGTGGGATGTGGAGAGCTAAGAGCAAGCTGGGTCTTCCAAATTTGTCATAGAATATCAACGGAAAACAGGGGGTGGGTTCACTTTATGTTTAAAAAACTCTAGAAGTTACTCCGTTATAAAGGGACATGACTGAACAGGTAGGAAACAGACTCCCCATTGTGGGTTCTCCTGATGGCTTCTGCGAGGATCATGGAGATGTCAATCACCTGTATCTTGGAGCAGTGCTTCATCTTATCCTCCTGAGGTATGGTATTGGTGACTACTACTGCTTCAAAGCATGCATTGTTGATACGAGAAATGGCTGGGCCAGAAAAGATTCCATGAGTCAAGATTGCATAGACTCTGGTTGCGCCAGCTGAGAGAAGTTTGTCAGCTGCGTGGCAGATCGTGCCACAAGTGTCAGCCATATCATCTACAAGGATAGCCACCCTATCCTTCACATCTCCCACCAGCACCATGCGGTCCACTTCATTGGCCTTCTTCCGCTCTTTGTGAATCAAAGCAAAGTCTACATTCAACCGATCTGCAATGGAGGTAACTCTCTTGGCTCCACCAGCATCAGGTGAGACAATTGTACAATTCCTCCATTCAGAGATATTCTCTCTAATCCACTTCAGGACAGCTGGCTCTGCATACAAGTTGTCCACTGGAATATCAAAAAAGCCCTGAATCTGAGAAGCATGTAGATCCATGGTGATAATGTGGTCTGCACCTGCTACAGACAGCATATTTGCAACAAGTTTGGCTGAGATTGGAGCTCGGCTCTTATCCTTCTTATCCTGCCGGGCATAAGGGAAGCACGGGATGACTGCAGTGACTCGGCTGGCTGAAGCAATCTTGCAGGCATTAATCATGATCAAAA